CTCATAAACATGCAAGGTTTCAGGTATGTCTTGCTACTTCTACTTACACTTAGGTCACACTACACATACATGTACAAGCATATGTATACACACCCCTCTGGGTTTTCTTCTGTTTTCTTACTAGTTCTTGTTCTTGTTTATTTTCTCTTTCCTCCATGGGGAAGTGGAACAGAATTCTTCCTCCGTAAGCCATGCGTGTTGGAGGAGGCGATTAAAATGCCGTGAGCAAGGGGCTAGTAACCTCTTCTCCTGTATATATTACTAAATGTAAAAGGAGAAACTTTCGTTTTTCCTTTTGGGCCACCCCGCCTCGGTGGGATACGGCCGGTGTGTTGAAAGAAAGAAAGAAGTCTGTTTAGTATACTTGGTAGAGTGTGTGGTAGAGTTATTATTGAAAGAATTAGGAGTAAGACAGAGAATAGGATAGCAGATGAACAAGGAGGCTTTAGGAAAGGTAGGGGGTATGTGGTCCAGGTGTTTACAGTGAAACATATAAGTGAACTGTATTTAGATAAGGCTAAAGAGGTCTTTGAGGCATTTATGGATTTGGAAAAGGCGTATGACAGGGTGGATAGGGGGGCAGTGTGGCAGATGTTGCAGGTGTATGGTGTAGGAGGTAGGTTACTGAAAGCAGTGAAGAGTTTTTACGAGGATAGTGAGGCTCAAGTTAGAGTATGTAGGAAAGAGGGAGATTATTTCCCTTTAAAAGTAGGCCTTAGACAAGGATGTGTGATGTCACCGTGGTTGTTTAATGTATTTATAGATGGGGTTGTAAGAGAAGTAAATGCGAGGGTCTTGGCAAGAGGCGTGGAATTAAAAGATAAAGAATCACACATAAAGTGGGAGTTGTCACAGTTTCTCTTTGCTGATGACAATGTGCTCTTGGGAGATTCTGAAGAGAAGTTGCAGAGGTTGGTGGATGAATATGGTAGGGTATGTAAAAGGAGAAAATTAAAAGTGAATACAGGAAAGAGTAAGGTTATGAGGATAAAAAGATTAGGTGATGAAAGATTGGATATCAGATTGGAGGGAGAGAGTATGGAGGAGGTGAATGTATTCAGATATTTGGGAGTGGATGTGTCAGCGGATGGGTCTATGAAAGCTGAGGTGAATCATAGAATTGATGAAGAGAAAAGGGTGAGCGTTGCACTTAGGGAGTCTGTGGAGACAAAGAACTTTGTCCTTGGAGGCAAAGAGGGGAATGTATGAGAATATAGTTTTACCAATGCTCTTATATGGGTGTGAAGCATGGGTGATGAATGTTGCAGCGAGGAGAAGGCTGGAGGCAGTGGAGATGTCTTGTCTGAGGGCAATGTGTGGTGTGAATATAATGCAGAGAATTCGTAGTTTGGAAGTTAGGAGGAGGTGCTGTATTGCCAAAACTGTTGTCCAGAGGGCTGAGGAAGGGTTGTTGCGGTGGTTCGGTCATGTAGAGAGAATGGAGCGAAGCAGAATGACTTCAAGAGTGTATCAGTCTGTAGTGGAAGGAAGGCGGGGTAGGGGTCGACCTAGGATAGGTTGGAGGGAGGGGGTAAAGGAGGTTTTGTGTGCGAGGGGCTTGGACTTCCAGCAGGCATGTGTGAGCGTGTTTGATAGGAGTGAATGGAGACAAATGGTGTTTAATACTTGATGTGCCGTTGGAGTGTGAGCAAAGTAACATTTCTGAAGGGATTCAGGGAAACCGGCAGGCCGGACTTGAGTCTTGGAGATGGGAAGTACAGTGCCTGCACTCTGAAGGAGGGGTGTTAATGTTGCAGTTTAAAAACGAGTGTAAAACACCCTTCTGGCAAGACAGTGATGGAGTGAATGATGGTGAAAGTTTTTCTTTTTCGGGCCCCCCCTGCCTTGGTGGGAACCGGCCAGTGTGTTAACCCCTTCAGGGTCCAAGGCTAAAATCTGAAGTGGTGCCCCAGTGTCCAAGAATTTTCAAAAAAAAAATTTTTTTATTTTTTCTCATGAAATGGTAGAGAATCTTTTTGTGAAGGTAATAAAACAAAAAGTACAAAATTTGATGGAAAACTGACGAAATTATGCTCTCGCGAATTTTGATGTGTCAGTGATATTTACGAATCGGCGATTGTGGCGACTTTGACTCCCATTTTAGGCCAATTACATTATTCCAATCAACCAAATTCTTATCTATTTCACTAGTATTACTTCTATTCTATCGATTGAGCACAAGAAATCGCCAAGTCAACTGTTTCAACTACAAAATAAAGTGATAGGAAGTTGGTAATTTGGCCAATTTAACACAAAGTTCAAAATATTCCAATTTCAAAATAAGGTCCAGAATAAACAATGTAGGTATTCCTGGCACTAAACTAACATTTCCTCTGTTCATTAGTTATGTTTTGAGGCTTTACAAATAAATTACATTTTTATTTTTTATTCACATAATGAATGTTTATTCACACCAAAAAATAGAAGATTTACTGTTATGCAATATTGTAATAATTGTATAAATATCATCACCACATTTGTGAATGTATATTAGACCCACCAGCTGGCGTGTATTAGACGTGTGAGGTCGTTTGTTTACTCTTGAATATCGGCAAAAATTTAACATTTCCGCTACTTTGAGCTCAGTTTCAAGCCATTTCCAGTACTAACACCAGTCAAAATCATCTCTATTTCAGTAATATGTCTTCCATTCTATCAAATGAGACCAAGAAATCACAAATACAACTATAAAAAACATACGAAAAAACACTGCAATAGTTGCTGTTTTAATCGAAAATCATGGTCTCAGTTTTTTTTCTCATTATACACAGAGTGCTGCAGGATTTGTTTTATGTGGTGCACACATACCACATACATGTATTCTCTCATATCTAGGCCCAAATGTGCCACTCACAGTTTATCAGAGTGAGCTGAACTCGTGACGTAGATCTACGGTTTGGACCCTGAACGTAAAGCCGTAGATCTACTGGACGGACCCTGAAAGGGTTAATAAAAAAAAACCATTGTGTGGAACCTGCTGGCCTTAGACTTTTTCAAAAGACAGAAGTGCAACTAATGTGACATTTTATTGTGACAACATTTCACTCTCCAGTAGCTTTGTCAAGCCGCTACAAAGTTCATGGAGAGCACAACGTTGCCCCATTAAAATGTCACATTAATTGCATTTGTGTCATTACCAAACGTATTGACGGGCTCGAGTCCTGGAGGTGGAAAGTAATGCCTGCACTTTAAAGGAGGGGTTTGAGATATTGGCTGTTTGGAGTGACATCTAAACTGCCATAACTGAGTGCCTCTGCAAAGACAGTAATTATGTATGAATGATGGTGAGTGCTTAACCCTTTCAGGGTCCGTCCCGTAGATCTACAGCTTTACGGTGAGTGTCCAAACCGTAGATCTACACCATGAGCTCAGCTCACTCTGATAAACTGTGAGTGGTACATTTGGGCCTAGATATGAGAGAATACATCTATGTGGTATGTGTGCACCACATAAAACAGATCCTGCAGCACACTGTGTATAATGAGAGAAAAAACTTAAATCATGATTTTTCGATTAAAACAGCAACTTTGCATTGTTTTTTCGTATGTTTTTTATAGTTGTATTTGCGATTTCTTGGTCTCATTTGATAGAATGGAAGACATATTACAGAAATAGAGATGATTTTGATTGGTTTTAGCACTGGAAATGGCTTGAAACTGAGCTCGAAGTAGCGGAAATGTTAAATTTTTGCCGATATTCAAGAGTAAACAAACGACCTCACACATCTAATACACGTCAGCTGGTGGGTGTAATATACATTCACAAATATGGTGATGATATTTATACAATTATTACAGTATTGCATAACAGTAAATCTTCTATTTTTTGGTGTGTGAATAAAAAATTCATTATGTGAATAAAAAATCAAAATGGAATTTATTTGTAAAGCCTCAAAAACATAACTAATGAACAGAGGAAATGTTAGTTTAGTGCCAGGAATGCCTACATTGTTTATTCTGGACCCTATTTTGAAATTGGAATATTTGAACTTTGTGTTAAATTGGCCAAATTAACAATTTCGATCACTTTATTTTGTAGTTGAAACAATTGACTTGGCGATTTCTTGTGCTCAATCGATAGAATAGAAGTAATACTAGTGAAATAGCTAAGAATTTGGTTGATTGGAATAATGTAATTGGCCTAAGATGGGAGTCAAAGTCGGCAAAATTGCCGATTCGTAAATATCGCTGACACATCAAAATTCGCGAGAGCATAATTTCGTCAATTTTCCACCAAATTTCGTACTTTTTGTTTTATTACCTTCACAAAAAGATTCTCTACGATTTCATAAGAAAAAAATAACAATTTTTTTTTTTTTTTTTTTTTTTTTTTTTTTTTTTTTTTTTTTTTTTTTTGAAATTCTTGGACACTGGTGTGTGACTCCAGATTTGGGCCTTGGACCCTGAAAGGGTTAATGGTGATAAAAGTTTGTTCTTTCTTTTTTGGTCACCCTGCCTCGGTGGGAAACAACCGAGTTAAAAAAAAATTGTCAGTAATTCTACCAACATTAATGCAAGACTCAGAGTTACCCCAAGGTAAAAAAAAAAATATTGGCAGGTGGCAGATTTGTGGGTATGAAAAATGGTGCATACTTGTATATTGGGCAGTACCAGCACCTGTGTACTGGTATGTTGGACACAGTTAAAGGGTTAAAGAAACTACATAGTTGGGCAGTTGCATTTTAGTGGTTCTTCATTAGATCATAGTGTTGGTGAATATGCTTTCCTTTGTGGATTACCCTGTCATGGTAAAATATAGATAGTGTTAATAATTTTAAGTAGACATACTGTAAAGGCCACAGTTCGAAAATACAGTACATACTGTGTAAGAAAGATGAAATTAATCACCTATTCATAGTCAAGGTGAATGGATACAGTGGCTTCCAAGTAGGGCCTAATCAAGAATTACTCTGTGCTAATTATGAAGAATTACTTTCTTGTATATACTGTATGTGTGTGGGCTTCATAGGTAGTGTATAATTATTTTATTCTGTTTTTCAGTGACTTGCCACAGGCAGCCAAGAAGAGTGGTGGCAAAATAAAGTCAAAAATTGCAGATAATAGAAGAAGTTCCTATAAACATGATGAAACTTTGGAAGACCCTCATCTCCCAGCTGTCTCCCTCACAATGCCGTCTCTTCCCAAGATCAATCTGTCAATACTGTCACCTGTGCAGGGTTCACCAGCAAAGCTAAGCACTTTACCAGAAGGTTTCAAGTTCTCCACACCAGAAATAGTGGATATACAATCAGATAGTGAAACTCTTACAAGTGCCCCCAAGTTTACATTTAGAAATCCTGCACTAATTGGGGAGGGTAATTTGTCCAGTGATGATCTTGGTACCACAGCTGCACCAACTATATTGATGTTTAATAGCAGTAGCCCAAGTTTGGGACCAAAACTAAAGGCAAACAATAAAAAAACTGTATTACCCTTATCAGAAAAACTTAAAGAGGGAAGCATATTAGAAATTCTTAAACCTAAGGGCAATAATCCAGATAAACTATCCTCCTTATCTTCACCGTCTAATAATCTTGAAGGAAAGGAAGTAGAAACGCCTCATTCGCAAGCTGAAAATAGATGTGGTGTGAAGTATATATCTAAACTGCAATTTGATAGTGAGGATTTGGGAACTAAAATTCCACAAGCATTTCAGGGTTTTGGTTCTGCCTTCAAGAAATCGAGTGATGAATGGGATTGTAGTGTGTGTATGATTAGAAATAAAAATTCAAATGTGAAGTGTGTAGCTTGTAAAAACCAAAGACCTGGACAGTGTGTGTTTATTGGCACTGCAGAGGTTACGACTAGTGCAGCTAATGTATGGGAGAAATCTTTGCCTTTATCAGAGTGTGAAAAAGGGTGGGGGGATGCTTTTAAAAAGTCAGCCAATGAGTGGGAGTGTGGTATATGTATGTTACGTAATGCAGACTCGACTGAAAAGTGTGTTGCATGTGAAGCCCCTAAGCCTGGAAGTAAAGGTGTGTGCGATATTTCTTGTAAAGCGTATAAAACTGTAGATAATAAGGAAGAAAAAATAAATTCAGGGTTTGGTTCTGCATTTGCAAAAGGCAAAGATGAATGGGAGTGTGATACGTGCTTAGTTAGAAACAAAAGTGATGCTATTCAGTGCATATCGTGTGAAACTCCTAAGCCTGGTGCTGCTAATGTGTGTAAAGCCATAACAGGAAACTTCAGATTTGATGTAAATACAAATGACTTATCTTCCACGAGTTCTAGTTTTAAGTTCAGTTTAAGTAACTCTCAGACTCAAGTTAAGTCAAGTGGATTTAATTTTGGAGTTAGTGCCAAAAGTGCAGAAGACAGTGACAGTAAAGAGAATTCAGGGTTTAAGTTTGGAGTGCCTGCAGAGAAGCCTAATGCCTTGACTGGATTATCTTCTAACTCTACTTCTGAAATTATACATACTAAAGAAAAAAGTCAGTGTGCTAGTGGTTTTACTTTTGGTGTTCAGCCATTGAATTCTAAAGACAGTGAAGTTACAAATAAGGAACCAAGTTTGTTCCCCTTAAGTAAATCTAGTGAAAGTAGTTCAGAACCTGCAACTGTTACTAATCCTGTATATCACTTTGATACTGGAAATAAGACACAGGTTGCCTTTAGTTTTGGATCAGGTACAATAAATACTACTGCAAAAAATGATCAAGATAAACCTGTTTCTAATGACGTAAATCTCTTAATAGATCAAAATTCAGGAAACCACCATGATCCACTTGTTCAGGAAAATGTCTCAAAATCAAGTGATACATTTTCATTTAAATCTAATTCCAGTTGTGCTGATGCAGGTGTTGACAAGCCAACATTCACTTTTAATAATGTCATATCAGCACCTGAAAAAGATAATTTGACTAATCTTGCAAAAAATGCTACCCCACTTTCATTTGGAGCTCCTAAAACTGTAGATCTAGCCTCTGATGCTTGTGCTCCAAACTTTGGTGCTAATGTGGGGGGGAGTGCTGCTACTTCTGGAATGGTGTTTGCCTTTGGAGATAAAGTGACAAAGACTGCTGCACCATCATCCTTCTCTTTCACTTCAACGGTGAGCAACAAAGAGGAGGCCAAGTCATTGCCCACATTTACTTTCAAATCTAAAAGGGAATCATCAGATACAAGTGAACCTGCCAAGAAAATTTCTTTTGGTGCAGCTAACACATGTGGCATTAACAATGGTGTTGGTTCATCTCCGTCACTGTTTACTTTTGGAAGTAAGGAAAGTAAGATAAATGCAGGTTCAGGCTTTGGGGCAGTTCCATCATCTACTCCAGCATTTGGAGCTCCAGCTCCAGCCTCCAATGCAACCCCTAATTTCCAGTTTGGCAATAGTAACCCTCCTCCTCCAGCAGAAACAGCACCAGCACCAGCATTTGGAAATCCTGCCTCAGCATTTGGAAGTGCAACACCATCATTTGGTACCACAACCAGCACCACCAATAACAACAACAATAGTTCATCTGCAACATTTGCCTTTGGGCAGTCAGCAGATAAGAAACCAAGTGCAGGATTTGATTTTGGCCAGGCTGCAAGCAATGCAGGATCACAAAACTTTAATTTCTCAAGTGGAGGAACCCAACCCACACCAAACATTTACCTGTTTGGTCAGGTAAGTCGTATCATAAACTAAAATTATAATATCTCATAACTTTTAAACAGTGGAAAGTTTTTCTCCTAAGCTGTTGCATAATCTTAAGCTTTAACTACAGCGATTGTCATACGTAATTTTTAACGTAGCACCATTTTCTAGGAGGTGCCTTGATCCTGATGAAGGGCTTTTCATAAGGAATTAAAGCTACTTTTTTTTTCTTCCTAGTGTCAGGCCTGCATACCTCCCATTCTTGGATCCAGGGCTTCCCAATGAATACAGGGTGTCCACAAAAACACTCCCTGACTGCAAACAGGTATAACATATAACTTTATTGTAATGATCTTTTACAGTTAGTAGCTTCAGATGCAGGATTTCATTGTTTCACATGGTATAGGGTAGCATTAAAGGCACTCAGTGTGCGCCCTTCTGGTCGCTCGGCGAACGTGGACGCAAAAGTCCAGTTCGGCCCAGATGCTCTGCAGCATATCTGGTGTTATCATGCGAACTGCTTCAGTGATTGAAATTTTCAGCTCCTCCAGGATTGCAGATAGTGGTGGTACATAAACTGTGCTCTTCACGTACCCCTAAAGAAAGAAGTCACAAACAGATCTGGTGACCTCGCAGGCCACTTGCAGGGGTCACCAGATCTAACTGTTTGTGACTTCTTTCTTTGAGGGTACGTGAAGAGCACAGTTTACATACCACCACTACCTGTAACCCTGGAGGAGCTGAAAATTTTGATCATTGAAGGAGTTCACATGATGACACCAGATATGCTGCAGAGTGTCTGGACCGAACTGGACTATCGCATCGATGTTTGCCGAGCAACCAGAGGGGCGCACATTGAGTGCCCTTATTGCTACCCTATACCACATGAAACTGAATGAAATCCTGCATCTGAAGCTACTAACTGAAAGATTATTACAGTAAAGTTACATGTTATACCTGTTTGAAGTCAGGGAGTGTTTTTCTGGACACCCTGCATAATTGGCTTTATAGTACAGTAGGGCCCCACTTATATGGCAGGTTAGGTCCTAGGCTACTGCCAGAAAGCGGACATTGCTGGAAAGCAGAACGCCATTTTTTCCACTTACAAATGTGTGTAAATGCCAGATAAGTTTACACTAACATATATTAAGTTAGCAATAGAACTAGGCATTAAAAACAATAAAAAGTAAAATACACACACAGTGCACTCATTATTTACCTCAAAATATTTGTAGTCTTAATGTAGGGCAAAAAGTGAGTATTATTTGTTGTAATAAGTCAGGTGAGGTAGGTATGGTAATCCTCCTGGTTACCCCACCCACACATAATACACTACGACGTTTAAAGCACCCTAGAGTGATAAATTGCATATACAGTACACTCATTACTTTAAAATATTTGTAGTCTTAATGGTCTTAATGTAGGGTGAGAGGTGAAAAGTATTTATTTGTAGAAAGTCAGGTGTGGGAGGTATGGTAGCTCACCTGGCCAAGCCATCCACACTTAATATACTACGACATTTAACCCCTTGACTGTCACAACCCCAAATCCTGAGGTGTGTCCTGGTGTCGCAAAATTTCCAAAAAAAAAAAAAAAAATTCTTATGAAATGATAGAGAATCTTTTCCTGATTGTAATGACACCAAAAGAACGAAATTTGATGGAAAACTGATGGAATTACGCTCTCACGAAGTTAGCGATCTTGGTGATATTTATGAATCGGCGATTTCGCTCACTTTGAGCCTTATTTTCAGCTAATTCCATTGTTCCAGTCTTCCAAACTCATAGCTATTTCTTTAGAACTCCATTTTTACTATTGATTGAGTACAAGAAACTGCCTATTTACCGATTTCAACTACCCAATAACGTGGTCAGAAATTTGCAATTTGGCCAATTTCACGAAAATTAAAAAATATGACAATTTCAAAATAGGGTTCAGAATGAACAATGCAGACAGTCCTGGCTCTAAAATAACATTTTCTTTGTTCATCAGCCACATCTCCAGGCCCCTCTGATATTACTCTTGCTTTCTATTTTGAATTTTTATTCAAACAAAAAATAGAAGATTTACTGTTATGCAGACTACTGCAATATTGTAATAATTGTATAAATAATGTCAACCCATTCATGACTGCATATTAGAATGGCTACTTGGACATTTATTGGAGAATGACGTCATTTGTTTAGTTTTGAACATCAGCAAAAATCAAACATTTCCCTACTTTGAGCTCCATTTCAAGGTTCTTTTCATAGTAAAAGCAATCAAAATCACCTCTATTTCTATAATATGTTTTCCATTGTATCAAATGAGACCAAGAAAACAAGAATACAACCATAGACCACAAATTTGACATTTTAATAAAAAAAAATGGTCGGAGTTTTTTCTTTTCTCATGCGCTGCGTGCTGCAGGATTTTTTTATATGGTGCACACTGACCACACAGACCCATTCTCTCACATGTGGGCCTACCAGCTTTCTCCTGCTTGATTTGAAGCCGCTAGAATTTATGCGTATTAATACATCCAAAACACTGGCTCGTAAGACATATACAACCAAAACAGTCAAAGGGTTAAAGTGAGAGGCTATTATTATTATTATTATTTTTTTTTTTTTTTTTTTTTTTTTCAACAAGTCGGCCGTCTCCCACCGAGGCAGGGTGACCCAAAAAAGAAAGAAAATCCCCAAAAAGAAAATACTTTCATCATCATTCAACACTTTCACCACACTCGCACATTATCACTGTTTTTGCAGAGGTGCTCAGAATACAACAGTCTAGAAGCATACACATATAAAGATACACAACATTATCCTCCAAACTGCCAATATCCCAAACCCCTCCTTTAAAGTGCAGGCATTGTACTTCCCATTTCCAGGACTCAAGTCCGACTATATGAAAATAACCGGTTTCCCTGAATCCCTTCACTAAATATTACCCTGCTCACACTCCAACAGATCGTCAGGTCCCAAGTACCATTCGTCTCCATTCACTCCTATCTAACACGCTCACGCACGCTTGCTGGAAGTCCAAGCCCCTTACCCACAAAACCTCCTTTACCCCCTCTCTCCAACCCTTTCGAGGACGACCCCTACCCCGCCTTCCTTCCCCTATAGATTTATATGCTTTCCATGTCATTCTACTGTGATCCATTCTCTCTAAATGACCAAACCACCTCAACAACCCCTCTTCTGCCCTCTGACTAATACTTTTATTAACTCCACACCTTCTCCTAATTTCCACACTCCGAATTTTCTGCATAATATTTACACCACACATTGCCCTTAAACAGGACATCTCCGCTGCCTCCAACCGTCTCCTCGCTGCTGCATTTACCACCCAAGCTTCACACCCATATAAGAGTGTTGGTACTACTATACTTTCATACATTCCCTTCTTTGCCTCCATAGATAACGTTTTTTGACTCCACATATACCTCAACGCACCACTCACCTTTTTTCCCTCATCAATTCTATGATTAACCTCATCCTTCATAAATCCATCCGCCGACACGTCAACTCCCAAGTATCTGAAAACATTCACTTCTTCCATACTCCTCCTCCCCAATTTGATATCCAATTTTTCTTTATCTAAATCATTTGACACCCTCATCACCTTACTCTTTTCTATGTTCACTTTCAACTTTCTACCTTTACACACATTCCCAAACTCATCCACTAACCTTTGCAATTTTTCTTTAGAATCTCCCATAAGCACAGTATCATCAGCAAAAAGTAACTGTGTCAATTCCCATTTTGAATTTGATTCCCCATAATTTAATCCCACCCCTCTCCCAAACACCCTAGCATTTACTTCCTTTACAACCCCATCTATAAATATATTAAACAACCATGGTGACATTACACATCCCTGTCTAAGACCTACTTTTACTGGGAAGTAGTCTCCCTCTCTTCTACACACCCTAACCTGAGCCTCACTATCCTCATAAAAACTCTTTACAGCATTTAATAACTTACCACCTATTCCATATACTTGCAACATCTGCCCCATTGCTCCTCTATCCACTCTATCATATGCCTTTTCTAAATCCATAAATGCAATAAAAACTTCCCTATCTTTATCTAAATACTGTTCACATATATGCTTCAATGTAAACACCTGATCTACACATCCCCTACCCACTCTAAAACCTCCTTGCTCATCCGCAATCCTACATTCTGTCTTACCTCTAATTCTTTCAATTATAACCCTACCGTACACTTTTCCTGGTATACTCAGTAAGCTTATTCCTCTATAATTTTTACAGTCTCTTTTGTCCCCTTTCCCTTTATATAAAGGGACTATACATGCTCTCTGCCAATCCCTAGGTACCTTCCCCTCTTTCATACATTTATTAAACAAAAGTACCAACCACTCCAACACTATATCCCCCCCTGCTTTTAACATTTCTGTCATGATCCCATCAGTTCCAGCTGCTTTACCCCCTTTCATTTTACGTAATGCCTCACGTACCTCCCCCACACTTACATTCTGCTCTTCTTCACTCCTAAAAGATGGTATACCTCCCTGACCAGTGCATGAAATTATTACAACCAAGCTTAGACGCTATTGTCAACGAGAGCCAACTACAGTAGACCGTCGTTTAACACAGTACATGTAGTTGCATTCCTGAAAACACTGTTTTAGTTAAAACTGTGTTAGACAAACTGAAGAACTGATGGGAGAAATAGGGTTACATTCCTGGGAGCCCCCAAGAGCCAAACAACTTTTTTCAGACCAACAGATCTTACAAAAATAAAAGTGAATATGTAATTTTACTTCATTGTCGTGATATATTACTGCTTAAGACTACAAATGCAATATAAATAATAGTATTTCTTACCTTAAATTGTCAGTAATGGTGTTTGTGGATGATTGTGAAGAGCCCTGCTGGGCTGAGGTGGATGGTGGTCAGTTGTCGATAGAAGTGGATGGTAAAGGTTCTCGTGCTAAAGTTGATGGTTGTATTGGAGTGTGCATAAGTTATGTAATGGATCTCTGGGCTCTTTTACCCTGCAGTACATTATACAGCTGAC